TTGCTATGGGTGTTACTTCTCCCTCCCCAATAAACTGTAAAATGTAGTATGTCGAGGTATGATTTAAAGTTCTGGAAATAAAACTAGTGAATCGTGATTTTGTTTCACAGTTCATTTACTAAAACATCCAGTTTAACAAAACCCTAGGTGCATTTTTTTTTTGAGGCCCAGCTGACCCGGAGGTCACAGAATGAGCCTAGGACTCACACTTTTACTATTAGGCCTATTAATATTAAATGAGGAAAGGTATCGATTTTAGGGATGCAGAGTTGTTTTTCTTATGAGGCAAGTTCACAGCTTACTTCACAACAAATTTGAACATAAAACATTAAAATACAGAATGCCAACAGCATAATTCTCTATAATCTCTTGCCTTTGGAAATTGAAAAAAAGTTAAATCTTAAAAGTACTTGAAGGAACCAATTTATCTATTTTTATCATCTTACAAAATGGGAAAATGTCCAGTCCACCATGTTGTCTTCCTTCATGTTAACAGAAATAGCATATCCTGGCTTTATCCTTTTGGTACTACTATTATAACTGAAACATACAGGCCTGCTTTTTACTTAAGCCACCTGCTGATGTAGTCATCACAAAGGATTGGTTTGTAGTATGAAGGGTGTGATTACTATACAATTTCTGAATGTTTTTGTTTTTTTGGTGGGGATACACACAAATAAGATGGAGTAAAGTTTAAAAAGAAAGAAATCATTTGATCTAACAGGTATCTTTTAAATTTGGCAGAAATATATCATGCCTGGAATAGGCACAGGGTGACTATAATATTTCTTTTTCAAAAGAAACTTCTCGGGTGAAAAAGTCCAGGAACCAGAGAGGGAAAACATGCTGAAGAATATTGGGATTAAAGTCAATGATGCCACAAAGAAAAGCAATTTTTGTTATCACAATACTAGGGGAATCTGTGGCCTCATGGCCATATGTGGCCCTTTGACTGAATCCAAACTTCACAGAACAAATCCCCTTAAAATTATTTGTTCTGAAAAACTTGGACTCAGTCAAAAGGTCTCACCAAGGACCTAGAAGGCCATTCTGTGGCCCCTAGGCTGCAGGTTCCCCACCTGCACTAGACTATTAAACAGATTAGGACTACTGGAAACAGATGACAAGTGATTAAGGGCAGGATAAAACTACAGATGATTATCCACAGTTATCTAAACATTAAGTGGAGCTCCCTCTGTATTTGAAAAGAACTATTGATTCCTTAGCTTACCCTTAATGATAGTTTCTCCTCAGGATGGAAATTATTCTGGATCTGATTCTCATAAAGAGGGAGGAACACTACCTGGGAGTGATCACTCATCTACAACAGGGGTGTCAAAACAAATAGCCACAACACCCACAACTGTGGCCTGAACCAAATTAAGATGTAATTGGGAAATATTCAACAAAATACAAACATAACACCACATAATACTACATTTTAAAACTAAGTTAACATGAAGCCCACAGCAATCTTTATGTACAGATCAGTGAACCCTGTTTTTATCTGAGTTTGACACCACTGCAAGAAGATCCTCATCATTTTCACCCATTAAAATTTGTAATAAAGTGAGAGACATGGTCTGACATTTGGTCTACATTTAAGGAAAATAGACTTCAAAGATTTAATGGGAACGATGGGTTGTTAGGATCCTATGGCCTGAAATGCTAATGAAAAGTTAATCCTGGAGGGATGAGAGGTTCTAAATAATGAAGTCCTGAGGATATGACATTCTTCTGAGGAAGTTTGCCAAAAGAATTGGAGAAGTACAATCACTCAACACCCACTTATATTGGTGGGGGGGGGGGAAGACGAGTAGGGAACAGAAGCAAAGGCATAGCACAATCCTTTAAGAAGTGTATTGGGAATGCTAAATCTCAGAATAAGCTGAGGCCAGCAAGAGAAAGGACAAGAAAATGTGTTTCTCATTACCTATACTGGGAAAGAAAGAGGGATCAAAAGAGAGCTAGGTGAACTAACTTTCCAGTGTGACAGGAATAATAACTGACAGTACAGAAAAGGCAGAAATATTCAATTTTTATTATGCTTATTTTCTCTGCCTGCCGAGGAGCATGACCTTTCCATGACTGGAACGGAAGCTAAAAGGGAGTTTAATGCTCAAAGAAGGAGATAGCAAGAAAGCTGCACCTAGCTGTTCTTTATGAGTTCATGTCACCTGGCTCAAAAGGACTACATCCTCAGGTACTATGAAAAAACTTGTAGATATGACTGCTGAGCCACTGTCTGATATCCAGAAGGCTGTGGAAAACAGGAATATCTCAAGACTGGAGAAAAGTAAATGCTGTCTAAAAGAAAACTGAAAACAGCAGGTTACCAAGTTTTACTTTAATTCTTGACAAAATTCTAAAATCATGACTTCATCAAGAACAGGAATTTGTAAATTGTTAAATCAGGAGAATGCTATATATTGCCTAGATCCTAGAAAAAGCATGTGATAATATCTCATACTGTTGCAGAAAATATGGCGAGTTGTGGGCTGGCTGAACAAGTAAGTAGATTCTAAAAGGCTATATAACCCAAAGAATATTCATTGATAATTAATTACATATCAATTGAGAATGGCTATCAGTAGCTTGGATAAAGGCATAGGTGGCATCCTCATCAAATTTGCAAGTAACAAAACTGGGAAGGACAGCCAGAATTCTAGATGACACATTAAAATCCAAAAGTGATCTGGCTAGGAACACTCAGCTAAACTGAAATTTAAGAGAGATAAATGACATAAAGCCTCACACAAGACTAGAGTACAAAAAAAAATCCACCTCACACTGACAAAGTCAGGGAGGTATAGCTAGGTAGCAGTTTGAGAAAGAGCTGGGGATTTTACTGGACCACAATAAGCTCAACACAAATCAACAGTGTGATACAGATGGCAGACAAGAAAGCTGTAGAGTGGTCAAAAAACTTAACATAATCATGGACTCCATTAAGAGAAACATCATTTGCAAGCACAAGGAAGTGTGACAACCCACTTATCTTCTGTCCTTGTGAGACCTGCTCTGGATTACTGTTTTTGGCTGTGGGCACCCCAATTTAGGAAGGATATAGATAAGTGATAAGCCAAATAAGAAGTGGTGGAAGAAACCAGGAGACTCAAGAGAATGCAACTCAATCTGATTAAATCTGAAAGGCTGCCAAGTGGAAAAGGAATTAAGGTTTCTTTGAGCTTGATCTCAGAGGGCAAAACTAGGAACAATGGCTTGAAGAGGCAAATTAAGGCTTGATATCCAGAAAAAATTCTGAACACTTGAAGCTAACCAAAAGTGAGATGGACTGCCTGAGTATTGTTGTGAATGATCTTCCCTTCCTCCAAGTCTTCAAACAAAAGCTGGATAACCACTTATTGGCTACGTTGCTAAAGGGGAACTGTTTTCCTATATAGGTTAGACTGAACGGTATCTGGGGTCTCTTCTAACTCTTCAATTCTGAGGGGCTGTAATTTTTAAATGGCTATGTAAATTTAGGGGTTTTAACTTTAAATTTCACATTGGTATCATTTATAAATATTAAGTCAGGTAGTTTCTTTTGCTCTGCTGTTAACTTGGAACTGGGAAAAAAAGATCCCCAAATAAATAAATAAATAAAAGATTCCTAGAAACACTGTCATAGATATTGTGAACAGTGTTCATGAAGGCTCAAGTGATAGCAGTATTTATTCCTACATACACTTGATTAAACACTTATTAATCTAAATCTTGTAAAATTTACATGACAGAAGCAGTAATTCATTTTACTAAAACTTATTCTCTAAAGTTATCAATTTGGAAAAAAAGGTTCAACTCAAACTTTTTCCCCTTTTGTCTACTTTCAGGATTATCCAGCAAAATTATTATTTGTTTCAAAAAACGTGTTATAGATGATAATTACATATATTACATTAGAAAACAGAGAATTAAGTTCCAGGATCATATATCTGGTTATCAGGAAACTAGGCTGAGAATTTGTCTCTAAATTCCACAAACAATCTTAGGAAAAAGATGGTAATTAAATCAGTTCTGCCAATCTTTGGCTTCTGGAAAAGTAATTTCTTCTCTCAATTTGTTTCTCAAAAAGTATTTCAAAAATACATTTATGGCTTAGGGAAAAGAAGACTGGATACATTCTTGGCTTCCTCACTTAACCAGTAACTCTTTCCTCACGGATGGCATACTAACTGGCCTCACTCCATTGTTGTGAGTATCAAATGAACTAATATGAACTGCTACATGGAAATACAAGTTTACAAATGTATTTAAGTTTCTCCACCCTCTAGAAACTGAAATCCCATCCTCATTATATCCTGAACAACATTCAAGTTTCTAAGTGACTATGAGAATGAAACTGCCACACAAATCTCAATAGGTTAAGGGATTTCAGAAGTCCTTCCAGAGTAAAATAACTGGTACTACAATACAACATTAATAATATTACAAAATGAAAAATTATTGGTAATAACTCATATTCATATAATGCTTTAAGGTCAGCAAGGCACAAGGGAATGTTTTGCAAAGAACTGTTAAACTGCATTTTAAAGAAATTCCTCAAATTTGTACATTAAATATTTTCAAAGTAGTAACTGAATCATTCATAAATACCTAAATATTTTACAGGGACACTGTATTCACTTGACAACGCAAACAACATATCAGAAAATCACCCTTACAGTTGAGCCAAAAATTACTCTATTTCTTATCCATTTTACCTAACTTAAGATTCATTCAAAATACTTCAAAATTAAAGTAACTATATTTCTCATTTTCCATAATCTATTAATGTCAATTATAAACTAATTCATGACTCATCCAACATGAGTCATAACTGTGTAATCCACAGGATACTATATTGGAACATTTTGTTCTTCCACATACTGGAAGAAGATTAAGGAAATGTTAATGCATTGTCATTTGGTAAATGACAAGTGTTCATTTCAATCTTTATCAACAATGAAGAAATAAAGCATTTTACTTTTTATAATTAAAACTCTCAGTGCAATAAGCTGTTTCTTTTTTTTGATGAAAGATTTGAAATTTAAAATCATACAATTATACAGTGTTAACAGAACCCCAAACCAACCATATTTAGGTCATCTTAGTGAATTGTCTTATACTTCATATATAAGAAAAGTAAAGTCATTATTGTTCTTGTCCAAATTAGTGAAACCATCAAAAAAAAAAAGATTGTCTCTAGACAGCATTTAAAATGACAAGTTCTATTTTCAGACAAGCTCATTTTACAGCAAAAACCAAAACAAAAACAAAATCACACACACAATTACAGATTAAGTCTTTAAAAAATTCTATCTATTTTCAAAAAGTCATCAGATTTCCATTTCTTCTAGAGATGTTTTCACCAGTTTGTTGCTCACTTCCGCAGGCTAAGCTTTCTTCATTATTAAAGACTTCATACAAGTTGGACAGATTGCCATTCACTACTTTTTCATCTTTTCTAAAAGACACAGGCAGACTTGCTAAATTAAAATTGACATCTTTAAAGGCATGCAATAAAAAGATTCCCACAATGATTGTAAGGAAGCCACTCAAAGTGCCAATGATGTCATCAACAGGCATGTTTTGCCACTCTTTAAAAAGAATAGCTGAACAAGTTAAAACAGATGTAGTGAAGAATACATAATATATTGGAGTCACTATGGATGTATTAAATATATCCAGGGCCTTGTTTAAATAATTGATCTGTGTACTTACACAGAGTATAAGGCTTAGCAGTAGAATCCAGGACAGTGGGTGTCTCAGTACAGGCTTCCCTGCAAAAAGTTCTTTAATAGCAATTCCAAGGCCTTTAACACAAGACACGGAAAATGCTCCAATTACAGAGCAGATTGTTATGTAAACAAGAATGTTTGTTTGTCCATGGCGAGGTCCTACCACAAAAATTAATATCAAGGACACAATGACAATCAATGTTGCAAAGACCACAAAACCTGGAGGAGAGAAGAAGGGTAATATTTAGTTAAAAATGTTAAGGCTAAGAGAAACCTCTGGCATTTTGTAACATAGCCTAGGAAAAAAGGGGGCAGAACGACTTCAGACTACAGAACTGTAATTCAACTTATTTTACAGAGGAGGAAATTGAAGGTCTCCAAGATAAAGTGACTGCCCCTAGGTCACAAAGTTATCATGCAGCAGAGCTAGTCCACAACTCACGTCTCCTGCTCTCTGGCTAGTCTTCCCAATACACGATGCCAATTACTCTCAAGTGAAGAGTAAATTTCTACATCTGCTTTCAACCTAACTACAGTGGGGAAAATTTATTACATTTTTGTTAAAAGCAAAAAAAAATGTGTATCTCAATCTACGTTATAGTTGTGCTGCTAATCCAGTCTTATAAAGAGCAATTTGTGTAAAGGGAGTACTTTGTTTGCCTGCACTTTAAAACAAGAAATAGTTACAAAGCTCAAGTTCTTTGTATATTCCATTCTTCTAACATGATCTACTTCTGGGCCTGGAGAGCCCCTTCTATTCTGACACTCTCCAGAGTAATAAAATAAATACCAAAGAACAATAAAAAGAGAAAACAGCAAAGAGGGAGCAATTAAATACACAAATGTTAAATATAAACAGCTTCACAAAAACGACATAAAAATATAAATTAGTTAATTTTGTGCTCAAAGGACATTATTTCTGAGATATCTAGGAGCACAGGAGGCAACTGTCATAGCAAGTAGCAACAGGAGAAATCATACGGAATTTGCCCAAAAGGTAAAGCCCAAATCTGAAATGGATAACTTGAAAAATAATGCCAAAAGGAGACTTTACATGATCTTTTTCTTACCTGGATCACCCAGCTTATGAGACATCTCATTTAAGGTCTCTATCTCCTCCTCTTTTGGAGCATGAATTACCATAACAGTAGACCCTAAAATACTTAATAAACATCCAATTTTTCCATGAAGATTAAGTCTTTCATTTAGAAAGTATGACGAAAGAATGGCACTATAAAGAAAAAAAAATCCCAGATATTAAAAATAATTAGTTTATTGTTGAGGGCCAATCTTAAGAGTCTGATAAGGGTTTAAAATTCAAGGCAGAGTTTGACCTCTGCCCAGGCTTTTACCCGAAAGAGCTCAATGATTAAGAGGTACGGCTCTCCAATCCCTTCCTGATTAGGAGGTTCCTGAGACATTCCTTCTCACTCTTTGAACCTTAGATTTACACATTCACTCCTCTATGCAGGTGGTGCCAAGGCGCCTGGGAAAACCTTGGAATTTACAACCCAATCTAGGAACCCTGATATCAAGGAAATTTATGTTGTCACGTCCTCAGCAGATGTTCTGGGGAGTATGTCACGGGGAGGACTCTTTGAAGTTAGGCTAGATTTTCTCTATATATCCTGTACCCTCAGATGAATAAACTCAAGTTTATTTCACGCCTCTCCGTTCAGTGTACAATCTGGTTGCGGGCAACAGTTTATCTTTTCTCTTTCTAGCTTTATAGCATATGTGAAACAAATACCCATTCAAACAGTGGGGGAGAAAAGTCTGAGAGCTAATAAAAAATAATGAATGACCACACCATAATTTTAGATCTCATTCCAAACAAAATGCTACTTGTCAAGAATAATATTTCCAGAGAATTATTTAACTTTGTGAAAAGTAAAAATGCTTGTTGAACTGAATTAAATGAATAATCTGGTACAAGTCTTATAATTTTGTGATTATAGAATCTATAAATCACCAACTACTGATTTCCACTGGGCCCTTACAATGATTTCTGCTTATACTAAGACGTTTAACTTTTTTTTTTAAAGGCAACTGGGGTTAAGTGACTTGCCCAAGGTTACACAGCTAGTAAGTGTCAAGTGTTTAATCTGAGGCCGCATTTGAACTCAGGTCCTCCTGACTTCAGGGCTGGTGCTCTATCCACTGTGCCACCTAGCTGCCCCCAAAATATTTTGTGTGTGTGTGTGTGTGTGTGTATGTGTGTGTGTGACAGAGAGAGAGAGAGAGAATGTGTGTGTGTGTTTGCTATGCAATGGGAGTTAAGTGATTTGTCCAGAGTCACACCACTGGTAAGTATTATGTGTCTGAGGTGGGATTTGAACTCGGGTCCTCCTAACTATAGGGCCAGTGCTCTATCCACTGCGCCATCTAGCTGCCCCTAGACTTTTAACTTAACATTAGTGATCTAACAGTAACAACCAAAGCCCACTTGTTACTTAACAAATAAAAGATTCATAAACAAAACCAGGTAATAATAAAATTGAGCCTGAAAATACTATTACAAATTTTACATGTGAAATTTCTGTTCTTAGGCTGACTTCAAAAAACCTGGAAAGATTTGTATGGTCTGATCTGATGCTGAGTGAAGTGAGCAGAACCAAGAAACGTCATACACAATAACAGCCATGTTGTGCGATGGCTAATATTGATAAACTTAACCCTTCCCAGCAATACAAGGATCTAAGATATCTCCAAAGGCCTCGTGATGGAAAATGCTATCCACACCCAAAGAAAGAACTATGGAGTTTGAATGAAGATCGAAACATACTATTTGCTATTTTTTCTTCTTCTTCTGTTGAGTTTTGTTTCCTCTTTCTGGTGGTTCCTCCTATTGGTTCTAATTCTTAATTACAAGATCACCAATGTGAAAATATGTTTAATAGAAAGGTATATGTATAACCTCTATCACACTGTGGGACATCTTGGGGAGGGTGGTGGGGAGGAAGGGGGAGAAAAATTTTAAACTCAAAAGCATATGGAAGTGATTATTCATAAATCAAAATAACAAAAAATTTAAAAAATGAAAAGAGGGGAAAAAAAGGAAATTTCTGTTCTTACCAAGTAAAAAGATTTTTCTTACCTCACAAGAACACTAAGAGCTCCTAATGGCGTCACTAACGTGGCTGGTGCAAATGCATAAGCAGCAAAGTTGGCCACTTCACCAGCTCCCACTGTGGGTTGAATTTAAAAAAAAGTGTCAATTTCACTGTTATAGATCAAAATTGTGAATTTTTAAAAAATCTTATATTAATATGTGGTATAAATACAAGTTACAACTTAAGCTTTATGCAATATTATGTATGGATTATTTTATTTGCTCACGTATTCTGATTACCTTTCTGGTTTAATTTTTGGGAGTTCTTATTACCTTGTTAAAGAAAATTTTCTGGAATAATACAACAAACCACTAGAAAAAGCTATATAAAACCAAAGGGCTTAACTGAAATAATACAGAGAGCATGTAAAGTTAATGCCTAAATTTAGGGTGCAAAAAGTAATAATAAGACACTTTAACTATAGAGGTCCTACAGTGAAACAAATACAAATAGTGCAGATCAGCTAAGGCACAATAAACTTTTTTTAAACACAGCAAATGAAATGAAAGAGAATCCTACTAGTCATAATCAGAGGGCAACAGTATATAATAGTGGTGTCAAAACTAAAATAAAACTGGATAAAACAGACCATATATTTACTTTAAAAAGCTACAAATTAACATTATCTCTGTTGTATTTTTATTTATTTTGTTAAATAATTCCCAGGAAGTTTCAGTCCAGTAAGTCTGACACATCTGTGGCATAGTGTAATATACTCAACTTGATTTTTTTTTTAAATGAAGAAGCTTAAATAAAGCAGCTAGTTTTCACATTTTAATGTTTTATATCATAATTTATTGTCTCTGTATTGGGTGTTTTTTATTATATTTTAATTTGGGGGGAGGGGTAAAGTAGAAGGGAAAAGTAAACAATATAGTATATTATATATATAGTATATATACTATATAAATACATAATATAATATAGTAAATAAAGTTAACAACGAAAAGTATAATCTGAAGGAAGGAGAATCTGTTTCCACCCTGGCCAAATGATTGCTGCAAAGACAAAAGGCATTAATAAAATGTATTTCAAGGTTTCTTTTGGTTCCAACTTGGGGCAATAAAAAATTACAGAATGCTCAGAGCTGAATAAAATATTTGACTTTCAAATACAAGACTCAAGTGGAACATGAAGAGGTAAACAGGAAAGAAAAATCATAAGAGACTTATTAAGGTTGAACTGTTTACATTCTGCATGGAAAGATGATATTTGTTAACTTATGAGTCCTTTGTCAGTATTAGGGTAGTGGGAGGGAAAAAAATTATATGTAGATAGATAGATAGACAGATACATACACAGATACATAGATAGGGGGCACAGGGTGAGTTGAAGATGAAGGGGTGATACCTGGTAAATAAAATTAAGGGGTGAGCAAGAATTATACTGGGAGAAGGAGAAAGGGAAAGCAGAATGGGGTAAATTATCTCACATGAAACAGACAAGAAAAGGCTTTTACAGTGGAGGGGAAATGGGGGGGTGAGAGGGAAATGAGTGAATCTTATTGTCACAGGATTTGGCTTAAGGAGGGAATAACATACACAATGGGGTATGGAAACCTATCTTACCCTACAGGAAAATAAGGCGGGAAGGGGACAAGAGAGCAGGGAGTTGACAGAGGGAAGGGCAGATGGGAGTAGGGGATAATCAGAAGCAAACACGTCTGAGGAGGAACAGGGACAAAAGAGAGAATAGAATAAATGGGGTGTAGGATAGGATGAAGGGAAATATACTTAGTTTTTCAATGACAGTGGGTGGGGAGGGAGGAAGGGAGAAAATTTGTAACCCAAAGTTTTAAAAACACATGTTAAAAAAAATTGTTTATAAAATAAAACTCAAAAGCTAAAAAAAAAATATTTACAGAATGCTAACAATTTAAGTGCCAAATGTCTTCAGCATTCAGAATCACCATTCTTTTGAATTCCCCTTAAAAATAATTAAAAACATGCCTGAAAACTATAAACAACTTCAATTTGTGATAAAGAATTACAGGAGAAAAGATTTCTTTTTTTAATTTCTTCTTTAAAATATCCTAATGAAATTCAAATTATTTTTTTGTTTTCAGAATATAATAAACAATAAGCACTGGATGGTTCAGAAAAATATACCACCACTTAAAATAAATGGCAGAATATTTTTGTGAGCCATCCAATGCTGCTGCTGCTAATATTTTAACAACAAATGACAATGCTAGCTATCAAGTTTTCAAAGTTCTCAAAGAACACCTGTCATACTGAGGGAGGAGAAGGATGTTAACAACAATAATTTGCTTGATACAGATGGGTAAAATAACAATCTAACAGTTATCTTAAAACTTTTAATTCTGGAATAAAATAGGATAGATTAAATTTTTTTACATAAAACTGCTTTCACATCTGTGCTAATAATCCAGGGGTGGTGTAAAAAAACATTTGAATACAGAAATGTAATATTTCCTGGTCATTTTATTTAATACATACTTGAAAGAAGTCCAGCCCACCATAACCACTCTTTAAGATATGCATGGCCACCTTGACCTGGAAACGAAGAAAAAGTATTTTTTAGAACTTTGGAAGATCATCAGACTCTAAACATTCTAACCACAATCAATAAGGATATGTAAAAATATAAGGGGAATACGTGGGAAAGTGTTCAAAAACTAAGGAGAATCGTATCTTCAAAATATTTTCACAAACATGCAAAAAAACTGTCAAATTTATAGGGCAAACATACGTATAAGAGTGAAATATTAAAAAAGAATAAATGAAGGTGTATAGTAATGTTTATCACAATGGATTAAAGTATGCCTCTAAAACGATGTTTCCCAGAAAAGGGAAATATAAATATTCACTGGAAAAAGCCTATATTAAATGTATTCATCATGAAAGCTTTTTAAAAGACTTCTCTCAATTCAAATAAAAATCATTTATTCACTTTTATCATCACAATTCTCTTCATCTTTGGCAGTTTTGTTCTTTTCTCCTATTTTTCCACAAGATCTCTCTCACCTTTGCTACCACTTAGAGAATAAGATTATAGATCAAGTTTTATACAACCCAAATCCATAAGGAAATTTGACAGACTAACAGAATTTGAAAACTGGAAGGAAAAATCACTGACCACGGAATCCAATCAACACTTACCCAAAAGAATTCCCCATACTGGTCTCTATTTGAAGGCCTTCAAGAAGGTAGAGCCCAGCACCTCTTGAGGCAGCCTGTTCCACTTCTGGACAATTCTACTTGTTTGGAAGTTTTTCCTGAAATTAAACCTAAAGTGGCCCCTTGCAACTTCTACCAACTCTCAAACGCATCACCATTCCTGGGTGCCCACCACCACACACTGTCCAATTTATCAATATCATTCCTACACAGTAGTATCCAAAACGAAATACAATATTCCAGTGAGGGCAGAGTTCAGGAGAGCTATCAATTCCTTATTCTTGGAACTATGACTCTTTTAATGAAGTCAAATTTGCATTAGCTCTTTTGGCCACTACATTATATTGCTGACTCACTGATCTGGCAGTCCACTAATACCCCCCAGATCTTTTTCCCTGCCCTGCTCCTCCTGAAAAGGAAGAAAAACTGAAAATTTTATATTCCAGTATAAGACTCTCCATTTTTCCTTAATGCATTTCATCTTATTAGACTCAACCAGTTCAACAGCTTATCAATATTTTTTGGATTCTGACTTAACTATCCCACCCAAATCATCTGCAAATGTGATAAACAAACCACCTATGCCTTTATTCAAGCCACTGATTTAAAAAACTAACTAGCACAGAATCAAACACCCTGGAGTAGTCAACCACTTACCATGTTATTTGGCTACATCTACCTACCCTCCCACCTACCTACAAACAGTATATTATCCTTGTACTCTTCTCTTGGTCTTATGTACTTAGGAACAGCACAATTTACAGAGAAGGGAAAGTGAAGAAATCAAGCAAGCAGCTGCAAGAAGGGATAACATTTTTGTCCTTGAGGAGAACACTTTTTTTTTTGGGGGGGGGGAATCTGTTTTATTACAAAGCTGATTCCTCTTATTCTGTTAGCAATACAGAACTCTATTCCAAATTGGGGGAAGGAAGGAGAGCAAACTAAATATAAATAGCCTATGAACCTACAAAATAATTTTACTGAAAATGAATCTTTATAGAAAAAATAAAAGACACATGTAACCTACCTGCTCTCATGGAGCCTTTTCTGGCTAGCCTTAAGAGACCCTTCTTTTTTAAAATGAAGCTTCCTCCAATGAATATGCTGGAGCTCATAGCCAATCCCAGACCAATATAAAAGTCATATTTTCCACGATCCTGGCTCATCTCGTTAACTGATGGTGGTCAAGTGAGTCACATTGATCACAGAACAGAGAAACTGCTGGAGTAGAGGCCAGGTGACACAATCTTCAATTCTAAACACAAAAACAGAAAAAAAAAATTTAAACAAATTATTACAAACCTAGCCAAACCAAAAATATGACACTTCAAAAATATTCAACAATAAAAATTCTATACCCCCTCTTTTATCCTAAAGGAAAGGTCTTTTTTCTAGAGACTACAGCTTCCTATCTCACCCAGGCTAGAACTGAAATTGCCACCTACAGGCTTAGCCCAGTAATGATCAGCACAGGAACAACAGATCAACTCAGTTTTTCTCACCTAGGCCAGCTTGCTTCTCCTTAGGCAGCCACAGCTTAATGGGCCCCTTTTCCTGGGAGCTCACCCATACTGGTGCCAAACCTAGTACAGATAACCAATTGGTTTTAGTCCACTGCAGCTCTGAACTCCTGAGTTTAAAAGACTCCCAGACTCAGAGATTATAGGCAAAAGCCACCATGCTCCATTTTTCTTCATTTTTATAACATTATGTCTGCTTTTAATGAGAAAAATGAAAGCAAACTCATTACAAATGGAAATTTAGCCTACAAAAAAAGGAATTTAATGAGTATCTCAGCAATAGTTAAAGTTTTTGTGAGTAATATTTAACTAATGCTATTTATTAGAATACAATGTTAAATACTGATGATAAATGCTCTGCAAACTTGGGGAATGGGCGATGACTCAAAACAGAAATGGAAATAAAAGTATTAATGCTATTACTCAAGGATTCACAGAAAGCCAGCTAATTAATATTCCAGTACTGATACTGAATAGCAATGAAATATGAAGTGGCAGAGTGGTCTCAGAGAAGCACAGTCAAAGTTGGTTGGCTGGTTGCTGTCCTTCATTCTCGAAGAGGACCAAAATGACATCACTGTGCTAGAGTCAAGTCACAATGTGTCCAACTGTGGCTGATCAGACCAATACGAGCTCAGAAGTCTCTACCACAGGTCAGGCACAAACAGTGCACGTGAACATTTGGGGTAGACTCTCTAAATTTGTGCATCCTGTATTTCCTCTGAGCTGCTTTACTTTGCTTTGCTCATAGGGTACAGTACCTTTTCTGATATGGGCATGCCATCCTGAGTGGTCCTGTGCCAGTGTCTGCCATGTCACACAACTGGATAAATTCACTCACCTTGGTAGTGTACTTTCCAGGGATGTACACATCGATAATGATGTTGACACACAGAGCTAGCTCAGTGTTTGGGAGGCTCCAAAAGAAGGCATGGGAAAGAAAAGGTATTAAACTGACTACCAAACTGAAGGTCCACAGAGCCACTGGGCTGACCTCATTGTTGTATGCCTATGAATCCTGGACAGAATACTAGCACCATGCCAGGAAACTGAATCGCTTCCATCTGAATTGTCTTGGGAAGATTCTGAAGATCACCTGGCAGGATAAGATTCCAGACACCGAGGGCCTTCCTTAAAAATAAACTGTCAAGCATTCAAACTCTGCTTCAGAGAGTACAATTATGATGGGCTGGCCACATTGTTCGAATGCAAAACATGCACTTTCCAAAAACACTATTTTATGGAGAACTTACACAAGGCAAGTGTTCACATGGTGGTCAGAAGAATCGATACAAGGACACTCTCAAAGTCTCTCTTAAGATAATCAAAGTAAAAAGACAAAAAAGCAGAAGGGACAACAAAGAGGAAAATGAGGCCCACAGCAAGAAAGTGACTTGTGCAAGGTCACAGAAGTCTGATAGAATCTCTGTGTCTGGGACAATGATACAATCAGGTGTAGGAGAGCTTTCAGATATGGTGCCAAACTGCAGTTCCTCATGTTCCAGCATTGGGGCAATTTTAAGAGAAAACATTCAAAAAAGCCCAGAACATTCTACAATTAATGATGCATATGGAATAACAAACTCTTCTTTTGTGGAATTAATAAATCCACAGTCATACTTCAGTATAAAAAACTTTATCCAGACTGCTTTTCTACTGCCTTGAATAATTCACAAAGAGGAAAGGTAGTGTTAAGATAGCTTGGTACAATGGAAAGAGCACTGGTTTTATCAAGAACCTGTTCAAACCCCAGCTTGCCACCAAATGATCACAGGCAAGTCCCATAACCTCTCAGGACCTCAGTTTTTCTCAGCTGTAAAATAAGAATACTGAGCTAAATGACCTCTTAAGTCCCCTTCTAGCTCAATGGACAGCACCAGCAACGAACACCAAAAGGAAAGAGGTAGAGAGAATAAGAGGGTAAGACTTCAGCATGTCTACAGGTTACTTATAGTTGTGCTAGAAAAACTACAAGAGAGTGGGAATGGAGGAAGACAAACAGGTTTGTGGAAAGTTCAGTTTTCCTTTTTATTCCCTTATGGGGCACATAGCTTACTGTAATTGCCATCCAGCTTTCTGATAATTCTTGAGGCTTTTAGTTTCAATTTATATCTCTGTCCCTATTCCAGAAGCACTTGGAGACCACCACACATCTCCTCTAATCTTTATTGGTTCATCAGCTGACCCTCTCTTCTACTGTTTCCTTCTGGCTGTGATAATCAAGCCCATTCACTTTCTCTAACTCTTATCATTTTTTGTTCATGGTACTACTACAATTAAAAGAAATAAATTGGTAGAAATGAACAGCAATTCACAATTTTTTTTACAGTGATTTTTTTTGTTTTTACAAGCATAGTAAGAAAGGCTTTATTATTTTCGATAACAAGTATGCAAAAACAAGTATGTTTAAAGAAAAAAAACCAGCACTCTGGTTATGTACAAAATAATGAAAATCCTTTCCAAGTAGCAGATGCATCCCAGAAAACCATTTAATACTCTAGGACACTTCTACCTTCTCCACAAACCAAACCCCCTATTGTAAATAGCCTGGCATTTGGTGAAGGGTAAATTGTATTAATCTGTTGTTCAGTCATGTCTGATTCTTTGTGGCACCATTTGGGGTTTTCATGGCAAAGATACTGGAGTGGTTTGCCATTTTCTTCTCCCCCTCATTTTACAGATGAAGAACTGAGGCAAACAGGGTTGACTTGCCCAAGGTCACACAGCTAGTAAGTATCTGAACTACATTTGAACTCTGGAAGATGAGTTACTCACAGTTTTAAAAACACATTTTTTTTAAAAAATGCCTTCACCTTCACTTTATCCACTGTGCTATCTAACTGCCTCTGGAGTGAGAATATCTGAGTCCAAATCCCAGATCTTTCACTACACAGTGATTTCTACACACTGGATAGCTACATAGTACTGAGTCCTATTTTTCCCACTTTGCACTATTTTACATAAGCTTTTACATATTCTGAGTAGTCTTCATATCTGTCAATCTTTATAACAAAATTACCATTATATTTAATATCAACATGCTACATGTTTCTTAGTTATTCCCTAGGTATTAGGCATTTGGGTTATTGCCAATTTTTAAATATGGCACAGGCTTAAAGTTCTCTGAATAGAGAAGCCTTTCCCCCTCTTCTTTATTTCTTTTTTTTTTCTTTAAGGCAATTGGGGTTAAATGATGTGTCCAGGGTCACACAGCTAGTAAGTGTCAAGTGTTTGGGTCTGAGTTCGGATTCGAACTCAGGTCCTCCTGACTTCAGGGCCAGCGCTCTATCCACTGCACCACCTAGCTGCTCCCCCCCCTCTTTATTTCAATAGGTCATACTTGGCAGGGTGGGGTTTAATATCAACCCTTGAGCACACCATCAAACTGAACTACTGAAAAATGGCACCAAAATGTATTGCCATCAGCAAGGTGTAAACGTACCTGTTTTTCCCAAAGTTGCAAAGTTGTCTTATTTTATATGTGTGTGTCTGTGTGTGTGTGTATGAGTATGATAATTTAATTGGTGTGAGTTACCTCCCAGTTATAATTTTTATTTATTAGTGAAATTGAACCTTTTTCCAAATGTTCTGGCCAGTAGATATTAATACTATCCATATAAACTTGATATTTATCCCTTGTAAATCTTGAAATCTTTCATGAGTATCAAAAGTTTCCTCATGGTTTCTTTTTATTTTAGTTTTACTGCTATTCACTGGAATGACATATACCAACCACTAGTTTCTCAATGTCGATATTACTACTATTTACTCATAAGAGCAGTGGAACTGTTTGCCCTCATATGCCTTTCACCTAATGTCATGTTTCCTGAGACCCAGTAAATAACAGCAGGCAGGTTTCATCTGTACTTTCATAGGCAGGATGTGTGCTCTGTACATCTGTGACAAATACGCTATTGCACTTTATTATATATTTTATGGTTTTCAAAACTATTTAAAACCGGACATCAGTGGGCTTAAGAAAAGAGTTAGACGGGGGAGGCGGAGCCAAGATGGCAGAATGAAAGCAGTGACTTGCTTGAGCTCTCCCCCAAACCCTTCCAAATACCCATAAAAAAATGGCTCTAAACAAATTCTAAAGCTGCAGGACCCACAAAAAGAGTAAAACAAATTTCCAGCCCAAGACAGCCTGGAAGGTTGATCAGAAAGGCACATCACGCCGGACGCGGAGAGGAGCTCAATTCGGCATGGGCGCGCAGGCCTCAGAGGAATGAACCACAGGCAGCTGTGGCAGTTTCCAGACTCCTCAATCCACAAATGCCAAAGACAACTGAGAAGGTCAGTGGGAAAAGTCTGTTTTTTCGGTGAGCAAAGAGCTAGGTCAGAGCCAGTTCCAGAGCCAGGGCTATGGCTATGTCCTGAGCCTCCAGCCCACAGAGTGAGGGGCAATCCAGTGGCTGATCAGAGGGGGATTGTAGGGATCTCTTTGCCAGTCCTGAGGCAGGAATATCTTGCTTGGCACGTGCTTGTATCTGGGTCACAGTTCTGGGTGGGGGTCCTTGGGTGAGGAGGAGCGCTGGCGTGGTGGAGCTTTTAGTGGTGGTGGAGAGGAAACCCTCCTCACAGTTCAAAGAAAAAAAAGACTGCTTGTGGCTGGTCACTCAAATACCAGCGCACAGGCCAGGAAAAGAGTAAACACCTCGCCCCTTTATTATACCACCTCGGAAAAACTAAAAATTTACAGGTCCCTACAAGTATCTCTGAAAACAGCTATATA